TCATCTGGCACCTTATTGTAGGACACGTGCCACCCAATGGTCATCTGGCACCTTATTGTAGGACACGTGCCACCCAATGGTCATCTGGCACCTTATTGTAGGACACGTGCCACCCAATGGTCATCTGGCACCTTATTGTAGGACACGTGCCACCCAATGGTCATCTGGCACCTTATTGTAGGACACGTGCCACCCAATGGTCATCTGGCACCTTATTGTAGGACACGTGCCACCCAATGGTCATCTGGCACCTTATTGTAGGACACGTGCCACCCAATGGTCATCTGGCACCTTATTGTAGGACATATGTCACACAATGGTCATGTGGCACCTTATTGTAGGTCATATGCCACACAATGGTCATCTGGCACCTTATTGTAGGACATAAGCCACCCAATGGTCATCTGACACCTTATTGTAGGACTCGTGCCACCCAATGGTCATCTGACACCTTATTGTAGGTCACGTGCCACACAATGGTCATCTGGCACCTTATTGTAGGTCACGTGCCACACAATGGGCATCTGACACCTTATTGTAGGACTTGTGCCACACAATGGTCAGCTGTCACCTTATTGTAGGGCACTTGCCACCCAATGGGCAGGACACGTGCCACCCAATGGTCATCTGGCACCTTATTGTAGGACACGTGCCACCCAATGGTCATCTGGCACCTTATTGTAGGACACGTGCCACCCAATGGTCATCTGGCACCTTATTGTAGGACACGTGCCACCCAATGGTCATCTGACACCTTATTGTAGGACACGTGCCACCCAATGGTCATCTGGCACCTTATTGTAGGACACGTGCCACCCAATGGTCATCTGGCACCTTATTGTAGGTCACGTGCCACATATTCCTTTAACCCCGAGTAGGAATAAATATAATAAAGGATTATAAATTCTTGAAATTATTTCACGGGGAACATACATGTTACCGGTATGAGAAACTGATAGGCAGAACACACATAGGAAAGTTATAAACAAGTGGTTCTCAACCTTCCTAATGCCGCCACCTTTTAATACAGTTCCTCGTGTTTTGATGGAACCCCCCCCCCCCCCCAACCATAACATTTTTTTTCGTAGCTTCTTCAAAAATATGTTTTTTCCGATGGTCTTAGGTGACCCCTGTGTTAGTGTCGTTCGACCCCCCCCCCCAAAGGGGTCGCCACCCACAAGTTGAGAGCCTCTGTTATAATCAGTGTTGTGGCGGAATGTCAAGTATGTTACATTTACATACCCATAACGCGCTTCTCAGTTCACCAAACAATCCGATGCTTAGAACGTGTCTTCACATAAGGACCGCAGTGCCAGCTCTCTGCACTGCTTCAAACTACTGCGATCAAGAACACAAGCGGCCCACATCCACCCATCTTGACCCTGGCAGTTGGATCATATCGATCTTCACCACGACTCTCTGATCGCCGTTAGTCATTCGGGCATAGATTTGTCATCTCCACCCCACGGGTGGGAGGGGGGGGCGGCCAGACAGCTCTATCGGAGAAGGACATGGTTTATTACATAATGATTTGCGTGTGTGTGTGAGAGTGGGGGGGGAAGGGGTGTTTACAAATGAACAGTTGATGCCCTTTCACTAACAATGTTGTAGTCGCCTGTGTGCAGTGTCCCCCCTTCTTACTCTCACGCTGGCAACCATCTTACTCTCACACTTGCAACCATCTTACTCTCACGCTGGCAACCATCTTACTCTCACACTGGCAACCATCTTACTCTCACACTGGCAACCATCTCACACTGGCAACCATCTTACTCTCACACTGGCAACCATCTTACTCTCACACTGGCAACCATCTTACTCTCACACTGGCAACCATCTC